GGGGAAAGCATGTGGCTTCAACACGCGGGGTGATGAGGGCCCGATGAGGACGTCAGCTATCATTACGGGGTTTCGGAGCCAATTACCTTCCCTTAGTAATCCGCACCTTCACCTCCACACACGCACACGCCATACCCTCCTCTCACAACAACTCCCCCTCCCCCCCCCACGCACGCACCCACATTGCCCCACGTCACACGCCATGCGTTGTACGACACCAGGGTAGGCCCCGATGCCTTTGCCTTCGTGCCCTTCCTGGACTTTGCCAACCATGCGGATGCGCCCCCCAACGGTACAACGGTCAACGGTACTAGTCCGCTAACCGCCAACGCTGACTTTCGTCTCTCGCCGGCGACGACGAGAGGTACCCCTGGCGGCGACAACGGCGGCGGCTCTGATGACGGTGTGTCGTACTTTGAGTTGGTGGCGCTTCGTGACGTAGCCCCGGGGGGGGAGGTGACCATATGCTACTGCGGACCAGAAGGCTACACCAACCAGCGGTTTATGGCGCAGTACGGGTTCGTACCGCGGGGGGGAAACCCCGCCGACCGGATCAAGTTGGATCTGGAATCCGTCGGGTGCGTTTTGGGGTTACTGCTACTGCTACTGCTGTCTGGGGTTCTGGTAGTTCAGCTCTCGACATTTTGGCTGTTGCTGCTGCTCATTGCCGTTGCGGCTCTTTTTTCGTTGTTTTGTGCTTTGCGGCTGTCGTTGGGATTGTTGATTTGTTGTGCTTTTTGTTATTGTTGATGATGTTTTTGTTAATCTCGTCCTTGTGTCTCATTTAGGGTCGTACGGAAATGCGACCGTGTTATCGTACATGTACTGCTGCTGTACTTGTTCTTGTTGTTGATGGGGGGTGATACCCTGTGGGCGGCTCTCGTCCCGAGAATGGACCGAGAGCACCGGGGGCCCTGACCGGGGGCCGAAACACAGCGCAGGGGCGGGCGCGCGGCTATTGTTGTTGTTCTTGTTGGAGAAGAGTGAAGGCTGCAGAGGAAGCTAGAGTTGAGGGGTGGGGATGATTGAGATTGACCGGGTGCAGGACCGGGCGCGGTTCCGGAGCGGCCACATGCCACTTCTACCGGCACCTCCTCCTAAACCCCACCTTTCCCCCCAAACCCAAACCATATCATCTCACCACCCAAGCAGGCCCCACCCCGCGCCCCTGGAGCTCTCCCTCTTCCAGGATCTCCTGGGAGATGCCTTGTTCCTGGGGGCCTTACGTGGATCCGATCCGTACCTCCTGGCAGCTCTCAAATCACTGCCACTGAAAGATGACAATGATGACGGTGATTGCAATAATGATGATGATGATGATGTTGGCGCTGGCGGAGGTGGCAGAGGCGCGAGTATGCGTACGGCAGCTGTACTGCTCAGTCAGGTGGAGTCGCAGCTGGCGGAATGTAAGCGCGGCTGGTGCTTGGGCGGGTTATTGGGTGGGGAGTGGGTTGGAGGTGTACGACACCGTTATGGTTACCTCACACACTGCCACTTTCTTTCCGATTAGGGGAAGACACCCTTTGGGTGTCATCCAGTTTAGGGGACAGCCCTAAATCGCCCACATCCGCAGACGCCCACATCCCATACACAAAAATCCTATAGCTAAAACACCCAGAAACGCGTCCCCGTTGACCCCTAAACTCGCCTCTTTGCCCCGCGCCCTCCCCCCGGCCCCTAAAAACACAACCCTTCTATCCCCTTACAGGTACGACACCCCTGGAGGCTGACGAGGAGTTGCTCTCGGATACATCAGGTGAGCAGTTGTGGGCTGAGGACCCGCGACTGGCGGCAGCGGTGTCGTACCGTGTGGAGCGCAAGAGGCTGCTGGGTACGGGAGCAGCGCTGCTCAGAGGGTATGTACGGCAGAGTGGAAGCCGTGGGAAAGTACTTGCGGTGTAGCGGTACGGCGCTGGTACGGCGCTGGTACAGCTAGGGCGGTCGTTGATGGGGGCGATCTGAACTTCCTATGGGGAGTAGGCAGAGGAGGGAGGGGCGGAAGAGGAACAGGGAGCGAGGAAAAGAGAGAGGAGTGTATGTGTGTATGCGTGTTATGATGAGCTAAGCTGGGGAGGAGAGATGGCCGAACGGGGGTGTGATGCTGGCGGGTATTGACCGAAAGACCGAAAGTAGTTGTCCAGCAGCGTCGTAGTGGGAGCACTTCAGTGAGTTCGTGAGTGTGTGAGTGTGTGTGTGTGTGTTCGTGCGTGTGTGTATGTGTGTGTGTTGGGCCCTGTTGGGAGAGGTCTGTGGCTGAGAGGGGGTGCTCGTTTGGTCATTTGCCCCCGGGGAGCGCCAGGCAGGGCAGGGTGAAACGAACAATCGTAGGGACGTGCCGCTTGCAAGCCTGCGTGTATGTACGTGTGTGCGTGCGCGCGTGTGTATGTATGTATGTATGTATGTATCATGTACGGTGATAAGGAGGTGCTCTTACGAGGTGCGCGCGGAGACCGGGGTGCCGCAGCTAGGTGCCCCTGGTCCCAAGCCATGAGGGCAAGAGGCTGTATGTCAGTCTGTGTGAGTCCTTGTGACAACAAGGCGCTAACTTCTTAGAGCGGCGAGATGAAGGGGGGGTACACGGGGGGGGGACAGCTGGTAAGGAGATACTTCACTGAAAAGGGGAAAATGGTGGGAGATGTGGACGTGTGCGTACACAAATTCCTGTGTTTGTGTGGTAACGGGAAAGATAACAAACAAGCCAGCCAGCCTAGGACCAACTCATCATTTCCACTGGTCTATTGTACAAGGAAATGTACATTTTTTTATATCCCATCCAAAATGCAACAAGTTGGGTGTCGGCTTCAAGGAAGCCGGAAAAAGGGCGGGGCCCCTCTGCATCCGTACAGGCCGGTAGCAAGGGTGGCAAGTGTGACAATTGATGGGTAGTGTCAACGCGGTGGGAGATGTGCTTTGTTGCAGCAGTGCTGATGGTGTGAGAGCTAAGCTTGCACCGGCGGAATCGTCAGCACCGCCTGCGGGCTCCACGCGAATCGCATCCATCCCGGGTGCATGCCGCATGGACAGTGCGGCAGACTGCAAGTCGGAATGCCCGTGCGGGCAAATGGTAACGGAAGCTGGGTGAATTTCGGTGCTGTCTGTGATGTTTATCCCCGAAGCGCCAGCGGCCTCAGCAATCCGCCCCACAGCCGCGGGCTTCATCGGGGCACACCGCAAGTCTCAGGAGGCCCCGTGCATTGGCCAAAGTAAATGTACAAACAAGCAGCTTGTGTATTTCATAGAGAAATGAAAGCAAATTATGTTGGCCTGCTGGTGGCAAGTCGGATTGCCCATGCCGGCAAATGGTAACACAAGCTGGGTGTTCGAGTTATCATACGCCGTCATCTAAGAATTCCATTGTGAGATACGCGGCAGCTTTCGGGATGAAATTTAGCGCGAGAGGCGTTGATGTGACTTTTGAGGTCGGTGAATGGAGGCAGCTAAACTTGTTTGTGCTCATACGGTCTTTGTTAGCTACATGCGAGATACCTTGCAATAGAGAATGCTGTATAGTACCGATAACGCGTTTCAGCCGGGTGAAATATTATGTTTGGTCCGTTACACACTCAAGGCCTGGGAGTTCGAGTTATCATACGCCGTCATCTAAGAATTCAAATATAAGATACGCGGTACCTTTTGAGATGAAATTTAGCGCGAGAAGCGTTGATGTGACTTTGGCCTCGGTCAATTGAGGCAGCCAAACTTGTTTGTGCTCATACGATTTTTGTTGGCTACATGCGAGATACCTTGCAATAGAGAATGCTGTATAGTACCGATAACGCGTTTCAGCCAGGCGAGATATTATGTTTGGTCCGTTACACACACACACACACACACGGACATGGGCAATCCTACAGGTCGGGGCCCCCCTGGGCGCTTCGCGCTGGCCCCGCCCAAAAATGATAAGATAGTAAAATCCAAGAATGAAGTCGCTGCCAAACCAAAGAACAAAAGCGGGAATTAGCCAGGCTTTCTGGCCACCACCGCCACCGCCACGTCGTCACCTCAATCAGCGGTGACTGTGAGGTGAGATTTTTATTGTTCACATCAACATCTGCATCATCACGGCCACCTACCCTGTTTCCCCCGTATCCTAATGTACAATAGTAGCCTTGGTAGTCTCCTCCAACTCCGCAAGCGAAAGCCATCAAGACAAGGAAAGCCGCAGCGACATCGCTGCTGCTGAGCAGAGGAGCCGGCACAGAAGCTGCTGCCTGTATTTTCATATTCCCAACTCCATCAACGCCAACAGCCGGACATGAATGACACGAAGAGTCGTCTCTCCCATTCCCAATCTCCACACCACACTGGATTTACAGAGACGGATGATTTCAGTTGTCCAACGTTGTACCAGATCGCTTCCCTCCCCTCTCCCCCCCGAACCCCCCTCATCCCGCTCCTCGAGCAGCCGTTTTCCCTCCCTCCACACCACCAGCAATCAGCAAGCACACTCCCATCTCTCAATGTCTCTCTCCCCCAGCCTACGTCTCTGCATGCACACGCACAAGCCCAACTCAAATCAGTAAAACACGCAAACCCAAACTGCAACTGTACCTACATCTTCCCTGTAAACGTCGTTTTCGTCGCCATGGGAGTGTTCGGCATCCCACTCCCACTTCCTCGCACGCTCCGCTCGCTCGTGCGCGCCCCATCACCCCATATTTCCTGAGGCGACACCTTTCACAAAAAACCACCTTTCCAATCCCCCCGGCTATCTGTATCTGTAACCCCCTTAACCCAGCCTCCTCCTCGCATCCTTGCGCACGAAACGCACAACATGCATACATACACGCGTGCATACATACCCCAACTCACGAGTTGCGTATAGCTGTGGCGTTATGGATGGTGGCGGTGACGCGCTATTGCTGACTATGTAGATACGTAGAAACATAGGTAGATAGCTACATGCAGTCGGCCGGGTGCTACAAGAGGCTTCTAAGGCTGTCTAGGCGGAGTTAGCAGTGATGATAACGAGGTCCTGGCACCTGCCAGCGGCCCTCTGGCTGCCCGGCGACCCATGGGTCTGTTGTCCACCGCCGCGCCACCCGCGACCCAGCCAACAGCTCCTCCCGCAGCCTCTGCACTCGAAGACCCCGCAGCCAGTCGTCCAACGCCAACCCCCCCACTTCGGATGGTGACTCCCGTGCCACGGTCCCCGGAACCCCTGCTGTCGGCCCAGCTGCTCCTCCTCCTCCTGCTGTTGCTTTTGCTGCTGCAGATTTCGGTTTCGTCGTTATTGTCGTGTGAGCGTGGGGTTGGGGTTGGGGTTGGGGTGTTGTCCCTGTTTTTGTACTTGTTAGTTGCGTCAGCGGGTGCTCCCTCCGCACCACCTCCTTCATTCGGCGAATGAGGAGCTCCTCACAGCCCAGGTCCGGCAGGACAGTGGCGGGATCCTCCTCGCCCTCGTGCTTCCGGTTCCGATAGGCGTCACTGCGAATGTGTGCGTATGTATGTGTGTGTGCGTGCGTGTGTGTGGCGTCACCAGCACAAGCAGCAACGTGGGCAGCAGTGTGGTCCAGGCCACAGCAGCAGCAGCGGTAATAAGAGCAGAGCAGCGCCATCAACACATCACCCAGAAGTACGGGCACCAGCAGCACCAGCAGCAGCACCAGCAACAACAATGACGGGCACCAGCAGGTAAGGCCAAGGGTCCAAGGGTGAAAATAAACCGAGAAAACGGACGCGGAGGAGCACTAACCGGTTTTTAAATCTACGGGAGGGGGGATTAGACACGGAAGCAAAGCGTTTGCAGGGCCTGAACTTTACTTGGGGGTTTTCATTAATGGATGACTGATTCATCAACGAAGGGGTTTATAGACCGACATCCGTCGCCCACCCTACCCTTTCTCTCCCTGGAGCGTACCCGATCGGGTCGTACGATGACGACTTGCCAACGCTGCCAAGCCGCGACTTGCCGACAGCGCCCTTCCGCACTGTTCTGCCGCCGTTGCCGCCGCTGGCGGTACTTGTGCCGCTGCCGCCGCCACCATCTCTGCTGCTGCTGCTGACGACCTCCCCGGTTGTTATCGCCACCCCTATCGCCCCCAGACGCCGCCGCTTACGAGCTTCATTGCCCTTGCTGTCACTGCTGCTGCCGCCAGCGACGGTGCCCTTGCCGCCACCCCCTGCCACTGCCACCGCCACCGCCACCGCCGCGTCGTTGTCTGTGTTGTCGGCCGCTGGTGCAAGTTGTGCAGGACCCGTCGTTACGGGTTTAACAATCGAGGCCTTGGCAATGGCGTCGGCGCCTGCGTTTGCCGCCGCCGCCGCCATCGACATTGCTGCCGCACCTGTCCTGAACCCCGCAGCTGTCGCCCCCGCTTTACCTTTCTCCAGATGCGCTGCGCCCACATATCTACCAGAAGCCTTCCTCAACCCCGCCTCGACCCTGGACGCCAGATCGCCGCGAAGAGCCTCGCTGTTTTGCTGTTTCTGGGGTTGCGATTGACTGAGCCGCTGAGCTGCCATCTCTGCCGCCGCCGCTGATACACGAAGCGAGGCGGTACCCGCCGTTGCGGTGGCCGTTGCGGTGGTCGCGGTCTCGGAGGTGGCAGCCGAGCTAATCGCAGCACCACTGCTAATTAGGTTTCCCGGCACGTGATGTTGTAGTATTGGATGTGGTCGTGGCGGTGAATGTCCCAATGAGGATCGGCTCCAATGAGGATCGGCCTCCGTTGTTGCGAAGGGCAGTCCCCACGGGTCGGCTCCTGGGCCCCCCGCTGAAGCTGACCGCGGTCTCGGGTCCGGATCTTCAGGAATCGGATTCGGACACGACGATGCCGGGACAGCTGCGTCCCGGCTCGACGGGCTTTCACCCCCCAATGGCAGTGGTGGTGGCTGCGGCAGTGGCGGCAACGGCAATGGCGACGGTGGCGGCAACGGTGGCGGTGGCGACGGTGGCGGCAACGGCGGCAGTGGCGACGGTGGGGGCAACGGCGGCGGTGGCGACGGTGGGGGCAACGGCGGCGGCGACAGTGACGGCAACGGCTGCGGCGACAGTGGCGGCAACGGCGGTGGCGGCTCTGCGACGGTCCGGTCCTTACGTCCCAGCTCCAGATTCCGCTCCTCCCCCCTGTCCACCAGCTGCCGGCCACCGTGGTGGGTACCCTGCTCCCTAGCCGCGCAGACATGACGCTTAGAGGGCTTGCCGCCGCCGTCCCGGTCCCGATCTGGGCCCCGCTGCTCCTGCTGCTGCTGCTGTGGCCGCTGCTCCTGCCGCTGCTGCTGTGGCCGCTGCTCCTGCCGCTGCTGCTGTGGCCGCTGCTCCTGCCGCTGCTGCTGTGGCCGCTGCTCCTGCCGCTGCTGCTGTGGCCGGTGCTCCTGCCGCTGCTGCTGTGGCCGCTGCTCCTGCTGCTGTGGCCACTGCTGCTGTGGCTGCTGCCGCTGCTGCTGCTCCCGGTCATGGTCACGGTCCCGACCCAGTTCGCTTGGGTGTGACAGCGAGCGAGAACAAGAAAGCTTCCGGCTCGGGTGACCCCAGTCGCAAAACTCTCGGCCTCGGTCTCGGTCTCGATGGCGTCGGGGAGATCGTGACCTACTCCGCCCGCTCTCGCCACAAAAAGAATGATGTTGCCGATCCCGACCTCTACCCCGATCCCCATCTCGATACGGATCCAAATCACGATACGGATCCAAATCGCGATACGGATCCAAATCACGATTTCGATTTCGGTCACGGTTCGGGTCTCGACTCCAATCTCGTTCTCGAGATCCGGATCGGTGACGCAGCGACTCGCCTGACAGCATCCGGCGCCGCTTGCGCTCCGGACCATCCAGAAATCCCTCCGCCGCACCCGCCTCCTCCTTCACCTCCCGGCGAGTGGCTGCTGCATGGCTGGAGCTGGAGCTAACATGGCTCTTTCTAAAGTCACGTCGGGCGGACGTCAGCACCACGTCAGCAGCTGCCCCCTGTATTTCCTGCTGCTCCCGGGTCTGCCGGGTGTGTGACTTCGAGCCCTGTGATCCTTGGCAAGCCCGGTGCGGCGGCAGGCCATGTGGCGGCAGGCCGATCTCGTCCTTGGCCTTGGCCCTGTCCTCGCAGGTGCGAATACCCGTGCCACGCGGCGGCTGCAGTGATGATGATACCGGAGGCACTGGGACCTCCTGCGGTGGCTGTGGCTGCGGTGGCTGTGGCTGCGGTGGCGATGGCTGTGGTGGTGATGGCTGTGGTGGCGATGGCTGCGGTGGTGATGGCTGCGGTGGCTGAGGCTGCGGTGGCGATGGCTGCAGTGGCGATGGCTGCGGTGGAGATGGCTGCGGTGGAGATGGCTGCAGTGGCTGTGGCTGCGGTGGCGATAGCTGCGGTGGCTGCATTGGCTGCGGTGGCTGTGGCTGTGGTGGCTGCATTGGCTGTGGCTGCGGTGGCGATGGCTGCGGTGGTGATGGCTGCGGTGGTGATGGCTGCGGTGGCGATGGCTGCGGTGGCTGCATTGGCTGCAGTGGCGATGGCTGCATTGGCTGCATTGGCTGCGGTGACTGTGGCTGCGGTGGTGATGGCTGTGGTGGCTGTGGCTGCGGTGGCGATGGCTGCGGTGGCGATGGCTGCGGTGGTGATGGCTGTGGTGGTGATGGCTGCGGTGGTGGCGGCTGCGGTGGTGATGGCTGCGGTGGCAGTGGCTGCGGTGGCTGCATTGGCTGCAGTGGTGCCGACGCAGCCTCTGTCGCTGGCACCTCTGCTGCTGGCGGCGGCGGCAGCGGCACATCCGGTGGCTCCTCAGCCGCCATTGGCATCGCCGCCACCGCTGCAGCCCCCTTCTTCGGCCGTTGTCGCTGCTGCTTGGTTGACGGCGATGGTGATGGCTCTTGAGTTGGCTTAGAGGCTGCAGCGGCGCACAGCGTCCGCTGAGCTGTCGCAACACCGCAAGGCGGGCAATTGAGCTGCTGACCCTGCACTGTTGGCGATGCTCCTGCCGACCGCACCTCTACCGCCATCGCTACTGCTGCTGCTGCTACTGCAGCAGCAACGGCCGCAGGCGCCACTGTCACGCGGAAGGTCGGAATTGGCTTAGCCACACTCGCATCAGCATCTGCCACTGCACCTGCCACCGCCTCCGTGCCGGGGCCACCTACCGCCCCGTCGCTGGCCCCGTCATCGGCTCGTAGGTGGTCGCCTGCGATACCGGTTTGGTCTGTGCCTCGCATTGCCTCAAAGGTTTGCTCGACTCGCTCGAATCTGAGCTCAAAGGTGGATCGCGCGCAATCCTGCTCAGATACGCCAAACTTCTTGAGCACACACCGCATAGGTTGAAGGTAGGCGCGGCCGCATTGGCCTAGGTTCGTGTAATGTTTTACCTGCATGACACCGGGGACCCGGGAACACACGGGGAAGTGAGCCGGTGGAAGGACCATCAGCATGACGGCGGCATTTTATTTATTTTTATTTTAGTAGCTGCTGGGCAGCTGCTGGGCTGTGTCGCTGTCGCCAGTGGGGCAATGGACAACTCACTCGCACAAACGCAAGTCCCATATCTCCTGGAGTGTGCGTGTGTGTGTGTGTGTGTGTGTGTGTGTGTGTGTGTGTGTGTGCGCGTAAGAAGTTGATGCCCGCCGTCGTGATGACAAGCGATCTGGATAGACTGACGGCCCGCAGAGGTGCACATGACGGACATACATACATACCTGCATGCCATGCCGTGCAACAACGTGTTGTTGGTGATCGAGGGCAACACTGTCTTACATCGCCAACCCTCGTAATAAGAGGTACACCGAGCTAAGAATTATTCCTCTTTTCCCTTCTTGTTAAAATGTTTTCTCTTTTTCCTTGTTTTCTCCTTACTTTTTTTAACCTTTTTTCAACCTTTTCACAACCTTTTTCCAACCTTTTTTACAACCCAGCATTTCAGGTTTGCACGCTTGCGTTTGCACACCAACATTCACTCCATGAAAACACGCACGCGTCCAGACATACCTTTGAACTCACAGAGCGCCTTTACCACCATTGGTTGGGGACCTCTAGGGCTGCACCAGGTAGGCACCCCAACCCCATCGTGTATGTATGTAGGGTTCGCCTCCCTTGGCATCTCCCTGAGATCTCTTTGCCAGCTGGTGTTACATATACACACCGCTTCTCCTCTCCTAAGTATTGTTTCATCAGTGTTCATCAGCGTGACTCCACTACGCAGACACTAAATGGCTTTGTCCTTCTACATACCCTATGCTTCCTGGCACAATCATCAAAGACCAGGTAAACCGGCCCCGGCTCCAAGTTGTGGAAGACGCCGCCCTCAGCCATGAGCTCTCGGCCCAGGTAGAGCCTATCGTGCCGCCACATGTACGGCATCAGGAGCTTGCAGCACCGCGAATCGGATACGGCGCCTGTGGTCCTGCTGACGCCGCCAGATGCGACCACCTGCGCTGCGGCCTTGGCTTTCGGGTCCTGATGGCACGTGGCGCCCCTTGCCGGCGGCTGCGGCGGCGGTTGCGGCGGCGGCGGTTGCGGCTTGGCAAGGTGTTTTGGCTTGATGACGTCATGCCGGTCGCTACCCGCCATCGTGCCCTCCACATTGTTGGAGATCGTGGCCTGACCGGCAGCGGCTTTGACCGAGGGGGGCTTATTCCCGTCACATGATGAGGGACTTGAGGCTGCGGTGGCGGCAGCGACGGTAGTGGTGGCGGGGACGGCTGCCGTCTGGCCGCGGCGGCGGCAGCTGTGGTCTTGCCCTGCTGCCGCTGCCGTCGCTGCGCCGACGTGTGCTGACGTTCGCTCCCCAGCTAGACATCCCGCTTCCGTACCGCCCGGAACATCAATGAACTCCCGGACATCCCGGAAACCGATGGCGGCGGCAGCGGCGGCCCCACGTGTTGTTGTCGTAGAGGTGGACCTGGGCTCCACGCCAGGACGCCGCTCCATGCCGCCGCCGCCGCCGCCGCCGCCGCCGCTACACGCCCCCGACACCTTCCTGGCTGTTTCGCCGCTTTCCCGTTCCGACAGTGCACCCTCGTCCGCACCACAGCGGCCCGCCTGCCCTTCGGTGGCAATGCCGGCCGAAGAACTGCCGATGTGAGTGGTAACTGCAGCCGAATCTGACCTGACCTCCGGAAAGGAGCTGCCACCGTAGGCGGCTGTGTCGCGCTTCGTACCGCCGTCGCCGCCCGCTTTGGGAGCAGCGCCGCCAGCAGAAGCCGCCGCCGCCGCAGCAGCAGGGCCGGCGGCAGCGGCCGCTGCCGCCGCCGCTGCCTCCCCTTCCGCCGCTGCCGCCGCAGATTTCGCTGTATTGGCGTCGAGCGCACACGCAGTCAGGCGGTAGGACCCGTCCACGAGCCGCTCGAAGCGAAGGGTGTCGTTCACCGACACCCCTGCATTCACCAGGCAGTTATCTGGCTTAATCTTAAGCCTAATCACAACTTGCCAGCCCTCCTGAACAGCCTCCTGCCCCACCGCTGCCGCCGGCGCTCCCGTCGTCATCGCTGCCGCCGCCGCCGCTGCTTCACCCCCTGAAACCGCTTCCCCAGCACAGGCCTTGTTTTCTTGCTGACCATGCTCCTGCGCTGCAAACATCCCCCCTATCCCTGGCTCACGCTTCCCCTGCATCTGCCCCTGCCCCTGGCTCGGCATCCGCTTCCGTTGCGGCTGCTGCGGCTGCTGGGGCCCCTGCCGTTCGCCTTGCTGAACCGCCGGCTCCAAAAGGAAGACAAAAGGCACGTACAGGCCGCCCATCTGCAATGTCAATCCGTGAACAGCGCCGCCCTTCCTGCTGATCAGCCCCAAGTCATCAGGCCCCAGAAGCCCTGCGTTCGCGAGCCGGCTCTTAGACACCACGAGCTTGCCCTTCCTCAGCGCGCTCGGTGTGACCTTGAGCGTGAGCGCGTAGGGGCGAGCAGCGACGGCGGTCCTGCTGTTGCCACCCCTGCCGTCAGCGGCGGCGGCGCTGCCGCCGCCGCCGTGTGGTACCGGCGGCGGTGGCGCTGCCGACTGAGCAGCTTCGTCCGGACCCTTCCCAGTCACCGAAGGTTGCGGTTGCGGAACGTCCTGGGGGCTGGCTGAGCTCTGAAGTGCAGCGACCGCCGGCGCCACCGTACCCCCGTCCACTGCCTCGCCTGCTGGGGGAGGAGCAGCAACAGCGGAGGGTCGGAAGGTGACCGGACCGGGATCATCCACTTCCACATCCTCCATCACCGGCGCCGCGTCAACTGGATAGGTTGCAGTTGCTGCTGTTGTTGCTGCTGTTGTTGCTGCTGCTGCAGGTGCTGCGACGACGACGGCAGGAGCGGCATGCGCCGTTGGAACCAACAAGCCAGCGTCACCAGCCGGCAACGCTCCTAAGACCATACCAGCTGCCCGCGGCGAAGGTGCGGCGGCCTGCTCCGCTGCGGCGGCCTGCTCCGCTGCGGCGGCGGGCACAGCGACGGTTGTTGTCGTCGCCGTCGCCGTGGTCGTCATCGTCGCAGTCGTCCCCAGCCCCTCCCCCGCCCCGCCACCACCACTGATGGATTTCAAGGCCGCGGCTCCCAGGCACTGCTCCGCTATGGACGACGCGGAGTACCCACTGGCCACATCCTTGTTGGCATTGCCGGCGCTGGCCGGCACCGCAGCTCCTCCGCCTCCACACTTACCAAGGGCCCCAGCACCCCCGCTGCCACCTTCGTCTCCTCTTGGCCCTGCGGGTCCCCAATGCAGCCTGCCGCCGTCTAATGATGACAGGATGCATAGTCCATGGAACGCCAGCTGACCTGCACCAGCAGCAGCAGCAGCAGCAGGTCCTCCGGACGCTCCGGCTGCAGCTTCTGTGAGCAGCAGATCCCCTGGTTCGCTGTGATGCCTGGATGCTGCAATGATGGGCCCTGGTGAAGGAATCCTAAGCTGGGGCACAACGTCGCTGGCACAAGCGGCTAATGGAGGTGCGCGGTGAGGGGCGGCCTGATCTGCGCCAGGCGCTGCGGAAGGCTGAACGGATGGTAGCTGGGGACTGCCTTGATGGACGCCCCGAGACAACGCATGGGGCCTGAAGATCCTCTTCTTCTTTTTTTCCGCAGCTCGGAGCAGGTCCCTGAGCGGGATCCTCTCCGGCGGCCCTGTTTGACCTGATGAACGCATTGTCAAAGTATAGGGCCTCAAGGAAGGAAAACCCGTGGATGGCTAGCATGAAACCAGATACATTATCCATAAATAAATAAGTCTGTATAGGTTCATATCCGCAATTAACAACGTTCCTCTGAAGAGAGGTGAGATGCGCGTGGGTACGGGCACTTCGCACAGCGTGCTCAGCATATAAGCTCTGCGCCATGCCAAATCCACTCCGCAGCTCAATCATGGCCGCCTACTTTCACCGTTTCCATTTCTCACCTGAATTTTGGGGCTCCATAGGGGCCAGGCTCGCTTGTGTCGTATGCTGCAGTAAACTGGCGGGTCTACAGGCGCTTGTGACCGCTTGCAGGTGGCGTTACATCATTCCAATATACACGTGGCGACGCTTGCGCGCCTAGCTAGGCTTGCCTCTGCATCGGCTTTTAAGCTGCCTTCTGACCATGCCGCTGACCTGCTCTGCTCCAGACGGACGTAGGTTTCAGCTATTTCTTTGCTAAATGTTTTGTCTACAAATTGATAAAAATGGTTTTGTTCGGTTCTCGATTATGACTTTCGCGGCCCCTAGATGTCGTACCTCGGACGATCCCGAACGGCTGCCAGTCATTGTCAGGATGGTCCATTTCAGGATCGGCTGCCTGTTTCATCAGGTGGTTCTTTCTCTGGTTAAGCTGTGCTTCGCCATTTTTATACGCCCGTCCTGGGCTTTTATCGCCTGTTTCAGGTAACCTCGCACGTTCACCTGCTTTTACCATGTTCCTTTGCAGTGGTTAGCCCAGTGATGTTAGTGCGCCTTGGCCCGACTAGCTGGACATGCAGCGCAAGCTATAGGGCCCACAGTGTTGTGCTGATGCACTCGACCCGTTCGGGGTCCGCTGTAACAAACCGCATACTGTCATATCTATAAATATTCTCCAGTGCCAACGTTTTGTCCGGTAATATTTTAATACATATCTAACTTATTTCCTCTCCATTCTTTCCCACATCCATAGGGCTTTCAAACTCCTTCCCTTTTGTATCAGCTACGTTAGATGACGAGAATGACTGAGATGACGAGATTACTGAAGTTTACCAATACTGAAGTACACGACGAGCTCGATGTCACCATTACCGCCTCTGTTACCTGCCGCGGCGCCTGCCAACTCACGAACCTGGTTGCCATAAATCGAGCCGGCCACACTACCCGCACCACCGGCAACCTGGAAGAATCAAATCACGAACACGCATACAGCCCCTCCACACCGCTTTCAAATTTAAACCTTTGTCATCACATTCCCCCCGGCCCGCACGCTCCTTATTCTCCCTGGCGCCCTAATCGGCTCCGCAACCCGAAGGACCACGACCTGCTCCTCCCCTGCGCCCCCCCGCCTCCTAGCCACTTCCTAGCTTCTCCTCCTCCTCCTCCGTCCAGTCGGTCTGGCCTCTCCTACTCTTTGGCACGTCCCCACCACCACTGTGGCCACCGCATATATGACAACGCTGTAAAACAAGTACATACATACATACACACCTACACACCACATCGCCGTACAGGCCCTTCACCCCCTTGCTTCCTTCCTTCCTTTCCTTTCATGAACAGCTATGTCAGGGCCGCTAGAGGAGCTGCAGCTGCAGATGTTGTAGCAAGGCCGATGAGAGTAGGAGAGTAAAGTCTGTCGTGAACTCTAGCATCAGGTCGTGTGAGCAGAGACGATTTTTAGTAAACTTGGGAATTTCGAAATTTGATGAACGGTTCCGGTATATGTTCCAGCCATAACCATTTGCAAAGGATATCGAATCCGTTGAAGGATATCAAATTCGTTACTCTTAAATTATTATCTAAAACATCTCATTATTGTGTAGCCGTCACGCTACAACAGGAAAAGCGGGGCCGTATGATTTCATGTCATAAAAGTGCAAAAACACGTCGCGCAATGGCGGCCGTCACCAAAGGCGAGTTGAGGCAGAGACGGTGGCGCATGGACAACATACATACATACTTACAGACAGACAGGCCGATCGCACACGGAGAAACAGAAGGGGCTGTGTGAGTGCCAGGCGCCGCTAACCCATCACACCACCACGCCGCCGCTCTCCAACTCCCTTCCCTTCTCCACTCGCCCTCATCCTCACCCTCAAAAGACATACCTACACACACACACACTTCCCCGTGTCGTCCCTCTCCTCACCCGCACCCCCCCTCGTTCTCCCTGATGCCAAACAAGCTCCTCTCCCAGTAGTTCAAAGCTGCTTCAGCGCCTCAATCAGCTTGTCCGTGTGCTCAGGTCTCCCAACACTGACGCGAATGTAGCCGGACAGCTCCTTCTTGGCGTAGTGTCGTACCATGATGCCGTACTGGGAAGCCAGCGCGTCCTTGATGGCCTTCGCGTCACGGCCCCCCGTCACCTGCCGCATGTCGGGAAGGGGGAGGGGGGGAAAAGGGCGGGGGAGATGAACTGGAGCCGGATAGGATAGGGGAACGCAGTCTAGTACGACAACCCAGTTTCGGAAGAAAGAGGGGAGAGAGATGAGGGGCATTGAACGGGGGAAAATATGGACGAAAACACATCAGCCCAGAAGTCTTTGCAGTAACTCTACACTACCGAAGCCATAAATACCCCTTTTTCCAGGGAAAGCAAACAAAACACAGGAGACGGGACACGACTGGCTCCATCCCCCCCAAAACCCCACCCTGACAGAGACGGACGGACAGACGGACGGACAGACCCGTAAGTACCTTTGCCAGAATGAAATTAGCATGCGAGGGGTACGGCTCCAAGAAAGGGATCTCTTTCAATCGCGAGAAAAGCCGATCTCGCTCCGAAACCAGTGCATTGCGAACCTGAAAGTTACAGCAGGAAGGCGGCAGCAGCAGCAGCAGCAACAGCAGCAAAACACTAAACACCAAGATTCACGGCAGCAGTAGCAACAGCAACAATTACGCTAACCGCATCAGTGGGATAACACGGCCCTTCAAAAGGCTGGGCGAGCTAAGGGGGGCGACACGCCCCCCCCCCCGCCGGAGCTTTTGTTCTGGAACTGACTATAAAATCCCCCCTCCCCCCCCACCTTCCAGCGACACCAGTCAGGAATATCATACATACATACATACATACATACATACATACATACATACATACATACATACGTACACTCGCACCTTGTCCAGGTACTCCATGTTTGTCAGTGCTGCACACGCCGCTACCTCCGCCGCCACAGACACGTTGTACGGCTGTTTGGCTCGCCACAAGTACTCAATCATCGCGGAGGGGAAGGCGCCGTAACCCACACGCAACCCCGCAAGAGCTGGTTCCGTTGGTGTTCGAGGGGTTGGGGGGTGAGGGAGGGGGTAGAAGTTATTGGTGTTTTGCATGAGTGCGCATGTGTTGGGCGGGTGTGTGTGGAGTGGGTGGTGGGAGGAGCAAACTACTTCTTTTTCGCGGCTCGGTTTTTTAGGACATATATACACAGACACACAGACAGTGCCTCACGTACTCACCCGCGCTCTTGCTAAACGTCCTTAGCACTACCAAGTTGTGCCGCTCCGTAACCCAGTGCATGCGACTAGCCTCCGTACTGAACTCAATGTAGGCCTCGTCCAAAACCACCAGTACGGGAAGATCCAAAATGGCCAACAGATCCGACTGTTGATGTGGTAGTTGATGGCGGTTGGCGGTTGACAGGTGGTTGGAGGATGCGGGAAAGTGTTGGTGGTCGGTGGCGATTGCTATGGTGAGAGCAGAGGGGCTCACAGAGACACCGTAGAAGGCGGTCAGGCTAAGGAGACGCACACGCAGAGGGACGCGCGTGCGCACAGGACCCCTCCTTACAACCCCTTTTCCCCCAGCCTCCCAACGGGCCGTTTCCCCTCCCCCCCTTCCTTTCCCTCCCCCCTCCCTTTCCCCTCCTCGTTCCCCTTCCCCGGCCTTTCCCCCTCCTTTCCCCTCCCCCCGGCCTTTCCCCTCCCCCAGGCCTCTCCCTCCCCCAGGCCTTTTCCCTGCTCCTTCCTTTCCCCTCCCCCCTCCTTTTCCCCTCCTCCCTCCTTTCCCCTTTTCACCCTTTCCTCCCGTTCCCCCTCCTTTCCCTCCCCCCTCTTTTCCCTCCTCCCTCTTTCCCCTCCCCCCCAATCCAACCCGCGGGACCATACCTCACTAATCATGGAACCATCCGGGTTGTTCGGTGACGTGAGGAACACCACCTTGGGCTGGTGCTCCAACACGGCTCGTCTGAGAAGAGCATGGGGGGACAGATGGAGTCATATCACAGGAAGAGGAAGAAGAGGGGGCAGATTAGGAGGAGGAAGATGATGGTGATGTTGAAGATCAGAAGAATCAAGAAGCTGTCGACGTGGCCTACCCGGCACGACCGGGAAATATGTGAGAGCTCCAGCTCTCCTCTCCGCACCTCCTGACCGAAGTGCGGAAGCGCACACCTGCCCCTTCCCTTTTCAATCTCCATCCCTCTCCATCCCTTACTCCGTCACGAGACGACCGTCCTAGACCATCTCCCCCCCACACACACAGACTATCAATCCCGTAACACATACATACATACGTACACCTCCTCACCCCCGCACCTGATTCCTTCCACGTCAAGCCTGAAGCCCTCCAGGCGGGGCACTGTAACCACCCGGGCGTCGTTGACGTCGGCATCAAAGACGTACATCGTAAAGGTGGGCGGACAATCCACGATCTTATCTCCAGGTTCCAAAACACAACGCATCAGCAAGTCAATGAGCTCATCGGCGCCGCAGCCAACCTGGCAGGACGGCGGGCGTGGTTGGGGAAAGTGAAAAGAGGAGGAGGACAAAGGTGAGGGATATAAAGGGGTGGTATGAGGCAGATGAAAACGAGCGCGGTTTCGAGTGAGGGAATCGGATGGGATGTCAAAGGCATGGGAGGAGAAGGGGTTGTGCAAATATGGGGTGAGAAGGAAGGGAGCGTGCGTGGTGGGAGGGAGTGGTATGAAGGTGTATCGGGAAGCTGAGGGGTGCAGGACACCGAAGGGTGACGGTTGGCTATTCCGAAGCACCTGACGACAGCGTTACATGCTTCACCACAGGCCTGACTACTGCAACTGGATTGAACCCAAGTCTGAACAAATTGATGATAACATAGATGAAGGATAAGTCCTGTGTATAATACCAGCACACAGAGCGACACTTTCCGTCGGCGGCGCATGACTATTTTGGCGTGCAACCCCCTTGTCTAAAAAATCTAGCAATTGTCGCTGTAAATGAAACAAACTATCATTCCTTATTTAAGAATCAAGTCTTGCAGTTGCTCTTCAACACGTGCACAAGGAAACGAGTGACAAATCAAAGGAGCCACACCAGAACATTGGAACCTACAAGCAGATTCTCCATCGGAATGTTGTGCATCTTAGATAGCGCCTGGCGGAGCGCGCGCGTCTCAGGGTCCGGATAAATATGTGGAAATGACATACTCCCGAGCGCCTGCCGCACTTCGGGTGGCGGCCCATACGGATTCTCATTGGCGTCAAGCTTAATGATATCCTCCGGCTTTCTCCCGTAGCGAGATGACAGCACTTCGAACGGTTCGATTGGAGTATACGGTGCAAGCTTGAGCATGTGCTTGCGCAGGAATTGTGTCGCGCTGGGAACTGCAGGTGCTGAGGTAGAGGGTTCCATGGTAGCAGTAGCCCTAGAGGTTAACACTAGCGGTCGCCCAGCCCGCGCTTGCCTCTGGGCCGCTGGGTAGACCCGAGAGCCCGTAGGGGCGCTCGTCTGCATGTTCGTCTGACCTCCAAAGCAATATCTATTAATTATGGACAAAACTGCGGCTCGGAAAATCGCTAACGTGATGGACTGGCCTAAAGGTAGCTCCGATGAAGCTCGTACTGCAAGTTTTTGAACGACCTAACGGCCAACGCCACTATGTGATACTGTAAGCCGTGAAGCTGGGCAGAACAGTGATCGGCGCCCGGCAGCCCGTTAATTCCCACAAGAAAGGAAATATGCATGCTTGGCTGCTATAAACAAACATCGCGGATGTCGTTTGACCTTCCGAGAGAAAGAGTGACATACAAAACCTTGCCTGCGCATATTCCGCGCATGTTCAGACAACACATCACACGCAAATTGCATGACTACCTGCTGAACCGAACCAAGTCAATGAGTGGGATCGCTCGAGGACACACAGTTCACCCAGAGCGGAAGTGTCGTGGTTTACATGGGCCCAGACGTGCAACGTTTTGTGTCAGTGTTTGGTTGTATGGGCGGAATACCGGGGGCGACTTCATGGGCCATGCCCCGCCCAACGGAGAGCTCGATGGATTAAGGCATAGATTGCATATGGCGAACATATTCTTCTCGGCAGACATCTGCATTTTCATTTGTTTTCAATGTAGCTCGTGGTACTGAGTTTAGCGGTTTATGAGAGATTTGTCATTGTTTCCACCCGAACCTATTCATGCATACGAGTGTTGTGGGATAAACTGGACGGACTGTCGATAAAGTGTGGTGGGAAAACAGTGGGACCTCGGCAGCTGACTTGACTGGGTAGTGCAGTCGTGGCCCTGAGTGCTTGCCTCCGGTAGTAGTAGTAGTGCCAGAGTACGGTAACCAGGTGTGCAAGTTTTCCCACTCCATGTCGTGGGATCGAATCTAATACACACATGAGGCACTTGTAAGCGGTCCTCTTGCAAAGTTTTTCTGTAAATTGTGCTTTTGGATGCCAGCCCCAGCCAATCCTGCCAACTTGACAGCCAATTCGACACCCTGTCAGGCTAATTCGATACCCTGTCAGGCCAATTTGACACCCCGAACAGGTCAATTCGACACCCGGACAGGCCAATTCAGGCGCAGCACAGCCCAATTCCGAGGCTCCACAGCGCAATTCGAATACCTCCGGCGGGTCCGCCAGAACAATTCCAGACCTCGGCAGACCAATTCTTTTGTCAGGAATAAAATCCAGGCTAATTCTGCGACAGAGCTCTTCCCTAATTCCAGCCCGAATCCTACCCTCCTTGTCTCCCAACATACGGCAATCTCCAGACAGGTGAACCTCCGAGCCTGCAACTGACCCCTCAGCCCAGTTCAGGGAAGGAGCGCAACCAGCTGAAATGACGCAGCGTGCAGCGCTGGGCCCTGATTGCACCGCTAACGGAAAACATGATGACCCCCACCTTGGCAGGTGGTCACGGGTATTAATTTGTTGTTGTCGTTATTTATTGTTCCTGGCAGTGGGGGCCGTAGTACATTGTAATGGCAGTAGCTGGATGCCTCGTGATGGCGCTGTGGCCTCGGGTGGTCCTGGCCGCAAAAACACGTTTCCTTTCCCCAGCACGGACAGAAAACACGGACAGAAAACACGAGGGCAAGATGCACCAAACCCGGGCATCTATCTGCAACATGCTGCCCTGCGCTGCACATCACATCACATCACATCACATGCACCTCCGTCCTGCCAGCCAAATGCATTCACCATCGGCAACTTCACCCCCAAAATAGTATTTTGCCATACCGGATGCTATACAAGGATTTTGGAAGAGCGGCGACACGACCCTCTAAACGGAGACATTAAACATACAAACCGAACGTTGCTGTATCTTACTGTACCGGGCAGTACAGCACCAAATACCTTCATTTTAGATTGACACATGAATTAGGACGACCAATCCATTAACATGATTACTGCATCCACACGCACACATCAGCGCAACATGGTCATTATGGTCTCTGTGTGTGTCCGCAACCAGGGGACGATACTAATGAAGGAAATGGTGGTAAGGATTGCGGTAAGGTTGGCATGTACGACACACCTTGTTGTTATTCTTCTTCGTCCCACCCGTACACATACGATACGACCCACAGTATTTCTCCATAAGCAATTCCGCAGAGCCTCCAACGCCTCTGCGCCACTTCGTTACCCTCATAACATTAATAATAATACGCATCCTGTGATAGCAGTAGGAAAGTTCGTCACAAAGGTGCAACGCGCACAACCGCAATGCGACCTTGCCGCACAGGCACGTTCCCCCCCATCCATACATACATCCATACATCCATACATCCATACATCCATACATCCATCCATACATACATACATACATACATCTTCCCTATATGTATATCTTCGATATCCTCCTCCGCCGCCCACATGTATGTGTATCCGGTCACCAACTGCATTGAGCACATCATCCTCCGCGCGCGCGCCTGCCATCTATCTCCCTGCGGGCGCCAGCCCAGGCGCTATCATGACTGGACCACACACCGTACATTGCCGTACGATACAGTCTACATCTCCCTGGTCATCATCATAGAGGTAACAACGCTGTTGACTTTTCACACAGCCAGTAGGTAGAAAGCCCCTTTCCGCGGCTCCATATCAGCTCACCCGCAATATGATAAGAATCCACGCCAAGTTACATGCCTTCCTGTCCGCCCCTCAGCCTGCCTTTCTATCTATCTATCTACCTATCTATCTGTCTGTATGTATGTACGCCTGTCCGCCAGCTATCCTGCTTGCGGCACGAGCAGGGAAACAAGAACGTACGAGCGACCACCTGCCCAGCAGCGTATGCTATGCTATTCCCAGCCTGGAACAAACCGACAACCGACAACCGACAGAGATCGCCATCCGGCAAAAAAGGGCCGACACGATGAAAGGCCACGATGAATGAATGGACAGAAATACGCTGGTTAAAGGCCTTTAAGAAAGCATAGCCATTCAGTCTGTCAGCCAGTCAATCAGTCTGTCAGTCCTGGTCCATTACCAAAAGCAGGTCGTTGTGGGGGTCGTTCACAATAATACTTAGCGGCCAACTAGTAGCAGTAGTAGCAGTAGCAGTAGCAATAGCAGTAGCAGTAGCAGTGGCAGTAGCAATAGCAGTAGCAGTAGCAGTAGCAGCAGAAGCTGCGACTTCTCCCGGCGGCCTTGGTCGGATGCGCCCTCATGGCATTATGACTGGAAATAGCGCCCATGCACACCCCTCCGCTAGCTGGGGCTGCGGAGCAAGCTCCTAGATGTGTGTGTGTGTGTGTGTGTATGTGTGTGTGTTGTGCACAATACGCATGTCGTGGAAGCACGCTTTATGCACGCGCCACCCTCATCCCTCGTACGTAGGGTTCCCGGAAGGAACCAACCAGCGGACAATCCATCGGCGCAACGACCTGCACTTAACGACATGCACTCCAGCTTCGCCGCATGATGTACACACCTTGCGCTGCGTTTCCATACCTTTCCATACTTTGTCAGTGCACCGTACATCTGTACGTCATCTGTACGTCCGAACTCGTTTCTGATGAATATCTCCTTCACCCCCGGGCACCTAGTGGGGCCCAATACTGTCTCGTTCTGTGCGTTGTGCGGCCCGCGCGTGCCCCCCTAGGATAAGCCCCACGCGTTGTTGTTTACGACGTGATCCAAGGCCGCCCGCCGTCGTACAGATTGACGCAGCGGCATCTGCGCCACAGGGCCCACCTGACCGTCGCCGCCCGCCGCCGCCGCCGCCAGGCCGCGGCGGCCGAGGGTGTGCCGGCTGCCGCTGCCTCCACCACGTGACTGCATGCGACATGGGTAAAAACACGTGTACGACTACTGTACGACAGGTATTATGGGACGGGTTCGGGCAAAATGGACCAGCGTGAGGCGTTCGGTGCTCGGCATAGATGTGCACGGCATGGCTTCGGAGCGGGTTTCATCGTACGTGCCATCGTACAGGTCGGAACCCGATTTTCCGTACTACTCTCGTTACTGCACAAACAAGCTCCAGCACTTGTTTCTGCGGCACCCTAAGGTTCCCGTATGAGCTAGATCCACCATTTGAACGCCGTACAATGGTAAAGATCTGCCGTACGGACACTGTATCATATCGTATCGTATCCCAAAGCAACTCCACTAACAATCTTGAAGCTGTTGCCGTACACACCGCCAAGCGGCCCCCTCTTTATGTGCCGCAATGAACGCTGCAGCAGCAGCAGTAGCAGCCACCTGAACCATTTAAGTTTTTTAACCACCTTTACCTACTACCAGCAGGAGCAGCAGCAGCAACAGCAACAGCAACAGCGGCTGCAGTGTGCAGCACCCCATGTGACGTCCTAAAGATGTATAACTCGCAAGCAGATAAGCACATCCATCATAAGGGTCACTGGAGCTTTCATGGCAGATGTACGGATACGGTACGACAGCAGCCGGCCGACCGACCTGTAGCCTCACCTCGTCCTGTTGCTGCGGCTGCCTAGGATCTTGGAGGTCTTCCTCGTCATCCGATTCCAGATCCACACTCTCGGACGAGTGCACCCGCCGCATGTCGGCAAACTTGAACTGCCGTACACTGACGTGGCCGGCCTGTACGACACACCCGGGAGTCGTCCATCAGCAGCATCAGCATCAGCACTGTGATTGATCATTTTGGAAATGAGTAATGAGGATGTTTTTTTGCGCGAGTTGGTTGTGCAGGGCTCGTCACTGTTGGGCTGCGCCGGCCCGGGCGAGCCGGATCCCGCCGAGGAATGAGTGAGATGCTGGTGGAGTGTATGTGTATGTGTGCATGTGTGCATGTGTGCATGTGTGCATGTGTGCATGTGTGCATGTGTGCATGTGTGCATGTGTGTATGTGTGCATGTGTGTATGTGTGCATGTGTGCATGTGTGTATGCATGTATGTATGTATGTGTGCATGTGTGTATGCATGTATGTATGTATGTGTTACACCTCGGGTGCGTTATTACCTAGAGAGGTGTAACGAGCCGGCCCGTACACGAGAGCTAGAGCAGAGAGGCTCAAAAGCCTAAGAGCCACAAGCTAGATCATGGGTTACATCTCAAATGAAGCATCGATCGTCGTCGGTAGCTAGCACCGCCTTGGAGAGAACCTCTACCTCTACCTCTACGTCTACCTGCTGCGGGAGGAAGGGTGATGCTAGCGCGCCGGTAACGTTGTTAAAATGTATATGCACTGATTGCGCTTTGAAATGCTCAAATGGGATAATGCCGTGATAATACTGTTGAGAGTGCCGTAGATAACGTTTGCGATGCCTCCTTATGTCGAGGTCATGGCCGACGGACGGCTGTTTGCCAACCTATCTATCTATCTACCCCACCGTTGTGGACTTGGCGCTCCTGGGGGCTATGGGTTCCGGAGCAGGTTCCGCCTGGCCATCCTCCTCACAATGGTCGTCGTCCGAAGCCTGGCGGCAAAAGGTATTACGAAGGTGAGTTGGCAGTTGGCAGTTGACGGTTGGGGGCTGACGGTTGGGGGTTGGGGTGAGGAAGGGACGAGGGCCAGTGTGAGGCAGTCCAAAAAGGTAAAAAGGGTAAGGGGGATGGGTGAGCAGTGGCGACGACTGCCGACCACCAACATGGACGCGTGCCGCGACCCTAAGTGTCAACTGAGCGCCGCCATCACCATCATCACCATCATCACCACCGTTACTAAACCGAAAAATCATCACCACCACTGAATCATTGCCGGCAAGTGCCGCGGTACATCAGTGGGCCACGTGGTAAGGTGGCCCACACCGCAGTACATTCCATATGAAGAAAGGTTGAATCAGCAACGTAAAACAGGACACCCAGCAGTAACAGAATCCCACCGCGCCTTTCCGCTACACAGTAGGCGCCCCTCCCCCTCTCCCTCTCTCCCTCTCTCCCCCCATGCACGGCCCCACACGTGTCCCGTCCCTTCCCCACCTCGGGGGCCCCGGATGCAAACATGAGCTGTCTGTTCTTCTGGGCCCCCCAGCCGCCGCCGCCGCCACCACTGGCGCCGACAGCAGCAGCAGCAGTAGCGGCAGGATCCTCCAGCCCATCACCATGGTCGCCCATGCCCGGCCTGCAGCAAGGGGGTTAGGAGGTTTAGGAGGTTTAGGAGGGTCATGAACACAATGTAACGCGGGGATGGGGCGGGTGGATCCAACAAACTAGGACAGGACAAACAGGACATCAGGAGCCGATTATCGATTATTGATAGCCAGTAATTATGGGCCCAGTAACAAAAGAGCATCATCATCATCATCGTCATCATCATCATCATCATCATCATCTAAATGCTCTACTGCTGCTGCGACAGCGAAAACATTAGCAATACGTGACGCGTGTGGCATGAGTGAAGGTGTGGGGTCGCCCAGATGAGCTGGGAGGGAGATCAGATGCTGCTCCAGGGTATCCCCACCTGACAACCCCCTCACCCCCTCACCCCCTCACCCCCCTTAAGCCTCGCAAATCCCTCACAACCCCCTCACCCACCCCACCCACCTACCCCACCCTACCCCACCCCACCTC